TTTTTTTTTTTTTTTTTTTTTTGTACCAGGGATCAAACTCAGGACCTTGCACTTGTAAGGCAGGCACAGTGCCACTGAGCTAAATCCCTGGACCCTGGCTTTGCTTTGAGAAGATAGCCCCAGGACACTACAGCCATGATACAAGCATGCTACTGTAAGACCTAAAGTTTCACTTCCACTCCTCGGAGCGTGAACAGCCAAAAGGCCTCCACGATGCTGAGTCCTATAGCCCAACGATGGCTCCGAAAGCAAGACCCAGGGCCTTACTTCCGAAAGCGGTGAACAGCCAAAAGGGCATCCATGATGCTGGGACCTATAGCTCAGAGAGGCTCCGGGAGCTCGATGGAGGAACAAGTCACCCGGGAAGGAACACACCAGGCTAGATAGTAAATAGACCTTTATTAGTCTGACCAGATGGCACTCCCGGAGCCAGGTATCTCAGAAAGGCAATTGCTCAGGGTCTGAGGTCCTTTTCATAGGGTTTTTCTAAACAAAAAGTCAGGGCATTCACAGAACCACCAGAGGACAAGATTTCAAACACATTGCTTATCTTATGCAGGAAATGTTCTATGATCACCTTTTGTCATACTATTTGCCCCTGGGTGGGCTGTTAACCAAGTTAATTCGTATATGAAGAAGCACAGTCTCTGGCCTATTAGCATGGAGTCACTTTAGCTTATTCAAGTCTTACACTACTACTTGAGCTGGTGGCAGACCTTAATATCATCCACATGGTGCTGGTTTTACAAGCATGCAGACTACAAGCTTTGGGGTCCGGGAGGCTTCCACTTAGATTTTAGAAGGCAGCCTGGGAGGCCAGACAGAGTGGCCCTGATAGAGCAGATTGTAAAGCTGAAAGTGTGGTGGAGACCCCAGGAATTTGGAGAAGCCAGGATAATGGAATGTCTGAGGAACAAGGACTGAGCAGTCAGCCCAAGAGAGAAGCTATGAGGACTACAACCACCAGCAATACTGAAAGATCATCCAAGCCCTTTGAAGTTTATATTTCACCACAGCTTGCTGTGGGCACTGAACACTGACATACAAGGTTTAATATTCACCCTGTTGGTTTTGTTTTCTTTGGTACCAGGGACCGAACTCAGGACCTTGCACTTGCAAGGCAGGCAGCGGAACCACTGTGCTAAATCCCCAGCCCTGCCCTTTTGGGTTTTGATAGCACTTTGGTCCCATTCCTTTCTATCCCCCTGTTCCTCCCCTTTGGAATGGGAATATTTTCCTTGTGCCATTGTATGTTAGCAGGCTTTCACTTCTTGATTTTTACAGGGGTTCATAGTTAAGAGTTTATCTTAAGTCTCAGAGAAGACTTTGGACTCGGACTTTTGGGCAATTTGAGAAATCTGAATTTCTGTGAAAATTTTGGTGACTCTTGCAGATCAATTTAAATGAATTTTGCATAAAGAGATATGCATGAGTCTTTTGGGAGTTATGGACAGAATGTTATGGTTTATTTCCAGATATTCCCCCAAGAGCTTCATGCACTCATAGATGTGGCTTTAAGAAGGTGATTAGATTATGGAGGTTTACAGCTGACTTACTATTGGGAGGTAGGGCCTGGTTAGAAGAGGTGTGTATATCTCCCTTCCTGGTTCCTTCCTTGACGCTCTCTGCTTCCCTGCCATCCCATGAGCAACTCTGCCATGCCCCTTTCCATACTGTCCTGTCTTGGAGCCAGTTCAGTAAGGACTAAAAAGTTAAACCTCTCTTCCTTTGTTTTGGGTGTCAGGTACTGTGTCTCAGCAATGAGAAAGCAACTAAGGCAATCATTTAAGGAATGCCTTCACTGCAAGGTTTATTAGCCTTAACTCTGCCAAATCTATCTCATCTTCTAAGACTGAATATAGCAACATAACAGTAAATAATTTTCAGGGTTTGCAAGGATATTCAGTTGCTAGCTTTCAATTCTCCTATTCTAGACTCTATTAGACTGATCTTAGGTAAGTCTGCTGGAATCCTCACATGTAGCACCTCTCTCTTCTATTTTTTTTTTTTTTACACATTGCTAACACAAAATTTATTTTGCTACCATATTATGTAATATAATTTGGTTAAATGATCTTTGTTAACTTCAAAACTGTCTCTCTCTTCTATTTTTAAGGATGAAATTTTTTTTCCTTGACACGCCCTAGCCTTGCTGTAATTAGTAGTTTTTCACACTCTACAGATGTCTTGGTATATTCATTCATTTTGGTTTCTCATATGTAATTCTTTTGTTTTTCTCAGCCTTCTTTCTTTATATACACCCTACTCAATATTGACATAAAGCCAAGAAATATTATAATGACATTGATATGGTTTTTCAATAAGAATCCACTATACATAAATACAATAAACTAGTACTCAATATCTATATAAGCTTGGCACAGTCTGATTTCTTTTTTCTCTTTTCTTTGTTTTTTTTTGGGGGGGAAATGAGGATCAAACTCAGCTCCTCATGCTTGCCAGGCAGGTGTGGCACCACTGATCTACATCCCTGGCCCCCAGCACTGTCTGATTTCAATGGGAGCCTCAAATGTGTTGTCTTCTAATCAAAGCTATGCGTAATGTAAGGTAATTAGCATATTTAAAAAAACTAAACTTTCTTCACCTTTTCATAAATTTTATGTAATAGAATTTTTGATGCAATGTGTATATTCCACTCAAGGAAGCCTCATCAATTTCAGGCACTTCATAGCTCCAACATTATTAATTTCTTAGATTTCACCCCCATACCTCCATAGTTAAGAGTTGATCATTACTAGTGTATATACTACTCCTCACTTTTTTCCATCCTTTTTTTCAGTGTGGCAACTGAACAGTGAAAAACTGCTATTAATGCATGCCTTTTTAATACAGTCTTTTGAACCACTTGAAAACTAAAATCTTTGCAATTTAAGTCCAAAAAGGACTGATCATATATATATTCAATCAAAATATGTATATGTTGGGCTCACTTGAGACACTGGAAATACAGCGTTGAACGAGAAAGACAAGGTTCTTGATTTTACTAAACTTAGGTCCTAATGAGTTGGGGCTAATAACAATAAAATAAGTTCTACTGCTGCTAAGTGAGAGAACTATTTGA